GAAAATAAAATCTGCAAAACCCATGAAATTAAAAACAAAATTTGTAGAACATGAGAGAAATTACCTTGCAGAGGAAGGAAGTCATGGGTCGAGACTTGAAAAGGCGAGAGGAAGTCTTGGATCGAGACTCGAAAAGGTGAGGTTGCTTACAGGCTTGAGTTGCCTCCAAAGTTGTCCAAGGTGCACGATGTATTTCATGTTTCGATGCTTCGACATTATGTTTCAGATCCTTCACATGTGATTCCTCCTCAACCTTTGGAAATCAATTCGGACTTGACTTATGATGAGGAGCCAGTGACTCTGCTGGATTGGAAGGATAAGGAACTAAGGAACAAGACAGTACGCTTGGTGAAAGTCTTGTGGAGAAATCATTCAATGGAAGAAGCTACTTAGGAGACAGAGGATCGGATGAGAGAGATGTATTCACGGTTGTTTTATGATTATTAGTAGATGTTTTGGTTGTATGTAATTTCGAGGACGAAATTTTATAAGGTAGGGAGATTGTCACAACCCATCCCGGATATGTACATTATTTTATTCTCGATGACGTGAAAAAACGGAATTAACCTTGAACGTTGATGGCTTGGTGTGACTAAGTTTTGGTTTGAGGACCAATTTGATGAATCCCTATTATGATGGACCCAATTGCAAGTGAAGAAAATATTGGTTTGATTGGTGGATGTGCAGATAGGACCACACACACATCCACATCACCTTCTCTCTCTCACTCCCGTACTCTCCCTCGGTTTCACTCACTCTCTCTCCTTCGAACCCATATAGGTCATTGTAGTGACTCCGGCTAGATTACTTTTGAGCTATGAATTCAGCCATACAAACTACCACAGGGGTTCCAGTTAACATATCATATTTCTATGAATTTATTCTTACATAAATTGCTTGGCATATCATACATTTGAATATGATTATGTGAAGCATGAATTGAATTGATATGATTTCATATATGTATATGCTTATATCTTGATTCTGGGAAAAATTATACATGTTTTACAGCGAGGGGTTAGATATGTTGATAAAGAAAATGATTTTGTAAAACATTGTTTTTGCCCACTCACGTTTTCTGTTTTGCGCCCTTCCAGATTTTAAGTAAGATTGTTGTTGGTGGCTTGAGGACGTCGGCAGTTTTGACTTATCCAAATAATAGTAGGATATTCTTGGTACTGTATAATTAGTACTTGTCCTACTGGACTGCACCTAGACTTTTATGCTCTGATTAGAAGTGTTTACTGTTGTAACTAACTCTTATCACTTTCTGTTTAGTAGTGCACTCTAGTAATTCAGTTTTTAATTATTCGTATAATTCGTATTGTTATCGCTTCCGCAATGTGCACATGGCCACGTCACTCTCACGTGACGGCCATCATGCCTTGATCTCGGTCGGGATGTGTCATTGGGAATAAAGATGATTGTGGAAATAATACGGATGAGGAATTTGACAATTTTGATGTCTGTGGTCTATTAAAGTTTTATAGTCAAAATGGTCTTTGAGATTAACATAACTGATCACTTCGAACCTTGAGATTTAAGATCTATAGAAGTGGTTTATGAGTTTATCCATCATCAATCATTTTGGTCATTTCGTGTAAAATTTTCATTAAATAAGGTTAAATGATAAAAATATTCTTAATTTTTATCAAATCATTTTAGCTCAATGTTTATTAAATTGAGAGTATTTTTGTTATTATATATATATTTAATAGATTTTTTTACAGAATGACTCAAAATGATTGATGATGAACAAATTCAACGACAATTTCTATGGATTTCAAAATCTTATCGAACACCTTACTCGCATCGCGTACTCCCAAACGCCACACTTCTCACGTACATCTGGATCAAACAAACAACTCGGTAACCAAGACGGTGATACGATTCTGCGATCCTTTGGAGTTTTTGAGTTTTTGGTTTGACTAAAATACCCCGAGCTCCGGATTCCATGTGATTTGTAATTCGAGGGTAATTTAGTCATTCGGTACACAATTGGGCTGGGTTGGGGAGGGCTTCCCACTCGTAGGCGCCTAAGAGCAGAAAGAAATTGGCACGTGATGAAACCCGCGTTTAAGCGGTCCAATTCCTAAACGGTCATATTTTCCATTCTTTAAATTTCAAAACCCTCATCCCACTCTCTCACTGGATCTTTGGATCGCTCTCTCTCTCTCTGCTCGCGCTCTCTCACTCTCGCTCAAATGGTCGTGTTGCGTTGTTGCGTTCTCTCGGTGTGCGTCAATTCAAATTTGTTGCTCTCTCTCTCTCTCTCTGTCGCTTGATCTCTCTCTGTTTGTTGAAATTGGAAGTTGGGGACGAATGCATCCTCTTCTTTGAGAAGAAAATCGACAACTTTTTCCAAGTTCCAGGTTCAGTTCTTGCCTTTTCTTCTGTTTTATTTCTCGGTATCTTTAATTTCTGTCTGTCTAACACTGTAACAAGAAACCCTAGTTCCCAAATCCCGTATAATCAATTCAGTCGCACTCTGAGCTGATCTTTGTTATTAGCCCTTGTGTTTGGAAAGTGTTGCTTTTTCTTCTTCCACATTACCCACTTAGGGTTTTGGTTTTAGCAGAAAGCCCCCTGCTTTCTTCTGTTTGTGTTGTGTTTCGTGAAGAAATTGGAGATGGGGGGTCAAGATTTGAGGCCCACTGTCTCTTCTCTCAAGCGTCCGTGTTTCCCTGATTCCTATTCCGATTCTGATGATGCCGTTACAGTTTTGGGTGATACGGTCAAGAGGCAGAGGATTCATGATTCGGATAATGGTCTTTTGGCAATGGAGGACTCGATTAGGGGTCCTCAAGCAGCACCACCGAAGCATATGATTGCTGGGATGATGATCTGTTAGGATCCTTAATTGACGAGTTTGAGCTTTTGCCTGATTCTGCTGTTGCGGCCTCTGCTGCAGACGAGGCTGCTGTTGTACCTCAGCTAACTACTCATCTCCGTCATCATCATCACGAGATTGAGGAGGGGCCAAGAACCACGGATGAAAGAGAGTTGGATGATGAGGAGGACTTGATCGCTGAATTCTTTAATCATATTGGATGAGAGGATGATGAAGACACAAATCAAGATCATATACATCAAGCTACTGAACCTGATCACATTACTCTGCTCATCACCATCATCCCGTTCCTTCCCTTTCAAATCATTATTTTTCCAGTTGTGGTTGGAAACATTGGAAGGCCACGGGCCTCGGTTCTCCATGTTCTCTTGATTTGCTTGCTCAGTATCATCATCATCTAGAAGCGGAGCAGGAGGAAGAGGACTTTACACGGAGTATACACGCCTTGCGTGAATCAAGTAGCGTCAGCTCTTGTTTTTATACTAGTAGTAGGGTTCAAGAATTCAGATGAGCACGGTTACCTTTCAGCTTTTTCTTTCCGACTTCTGGTTTAATCATAGTTAGTTTATTAGTTTTCAGTCTTTTTATTTACACGGAAGATGTGACATAGAAACAAGCGAACAAGCGCAATGACGTTCTAGGATTCATATAGCCGACCCCACTTAGTGGGAAAAGGCTTTGTTGTTGTTGTTGTCGTGGATAGAATAGTTTTCAGTCTGTTATTTCGTCTAGTTGGTGGTCTTACTCTGTATTGTTGTCAATCTTGAGGAAATCTGTAGACAATATACATATGAATGTACATGAAGTTCCCAATAGTTCTGATTGCACTTACTTTTGTTTTCGTCATTTCTTTCAGCACACTCTGAGTTTTCGTTTCAATTTTAAGACGTTGTCGTGTCGTGAACAGTAGTACTCAGTTTATCACTATTTGTTTCGACCTCTGTTTCGTTTCATGAATAATCAATCTGCTAATGACTGATTCCAGACGTGTTTCTTATGAAATCTTCTCCAACATAGTTTTGGACAGGAAGAACATAAAGGTGTATTAGAGTTGGGAGAAAATCTTGTTACCCCTATAAAAAATGAATATGAACGCTATGTGAACATCTATGTGAACATCGTGACTATGACTTATCATGTTAATCATAGGAAATCGTGACTGTGGCTTGGACATAGGAAATTAAAAAAATCGTGATTTCCTATGATTTCCCATGTCCAAGTCATAGTCACGATTTCCTATTGTAAAACATATCCAAGTTGAGCAATTTCTATGACATTAGTATACTGTGACTATGACTTCTCGTGTCAATCATGAAATGCTATGTGAATAAAAATAAGATATAAATCTTTTTCGTGTCGAAATCAAAACTTGCAATCCAACATTCACCCTTAAATATTTGGGTTCATTAATCTAATATATGATCTAAAAAAATTGACAATAAAATGCCTAATAACCAAGAGTGTGGATTCTGGGAATCCACAAATCGTGTCCGTTCATCATATATCATACGGCTATAAATTATTTTAAATACTTTTATTTAAAATTTAATATGAATAATATCTGACAAAAATTGATCGCATGATGTACGATAAACGAAAATGATTTGAAGATCCCCAACATCCTCACAAAGAGGATCCGAAGAGGATCCTCATACGATAAGCAAAAGAACTGGACGCGGCAGGATAAAAAATGGGCCAAGAAGTAAAATAGGGAACCCAGCCCAATCGATTTTTTTTTTCCTGCGTTATTTTAGGGTTTTGTAGATATGAAAATGCCACGTGATGAAAACGCGCGCTTAAGCGGTGAGCCTTGCAAGTTTGCAACGTTAACATCCAATTCCCAAACCGAACGGTCATATTTTCTTCCATTGAAATTTCAAATCCACTCCCTCTCTCTCACTAGATCTCTCTCTCAAGATCTTTCTCTCTCGCTCTCTCTGCGCGTTCGAATTTGAACCAGAATTGGAATTCAGTGCTCCAACAGTCTCCGGTTGAATTGAATTACAGAATACTCGAAATCGATTCCTCTTCAGTTGCTCTTGTTTGGGGACGAAGACGACGATTCAGGAGACATCGACGAGCTGCTCTCCTCGGCGGGCGAGCGAAATCGGCTTCCAGGTTTCCCTTTTTCTTCTCTTTTAATTTCTCGCTTATTTTCTCTTCTTTATTTTGTGCCCAAGAAAAATTTAGGGTTTTTGCTGCTGCATTTGTTTCGTGTTGAATTGCATTGAATTGAAATCGCGTTTAACAATGGAGGTGGGTTATTACGGTATGCCATTGGGTTTTCGGTTTCATCCTACTGATCAAGAATTGGTCAGTTCCTATCTTCGCGATAGAGCCCTCTCCGGAAAGCCCTTAGGCAACCCGTTTGTTCACGAGTTCAATCTCTTTGGACAAACACCACCCTGGGTGGTTTGGGAGCAATTCGGTGGAAATTCCCTACTCGATCAGGACTTGTTCTTCTTCTATGAGCTGCGTTCTAGAAGTGACAGCGACAGCCGCAGCAAACGCCAGATCGAAGCCGGAGGCACTTGGAGCGAAACATCCTCCGACAAAGTTTTAGGTTTGGACGGAATTCCAATCGCGGATAAAGGGCATTTCAGGTATAACAACAAGGGTTCTAACAACAATGGCTGCTGGCTGTTAGAAGAGTACAGTCTTCTTCCTAATGTAGTTGCTGGCCCAAAGGTCGTTCTTTCCCGACTTAAAAGGAATCCGAGGTCTAGATGCGGAAACAAGATGAATTCCTCAAGTCCAACTCATGACTTCAATGAGAAGCCACCGATTAAGAGGGCAAGAAAAGAAGTATCGAATGAGAAGCCGCTGATTAAGAGAAAGAGAGCAAGAAAAGAACCGGGTTCACAAAAACATTCTAATGTGAATGTAATCACCAATACCCCTGCTGTTGTGCCTTTTGTTGGAACTGAAAGCAATATGATTACTGACACTAGGTATCAGGATCAGGAGTGCATAACCAACATTAACGGCAATGCGAAGCCGACTGATTTCTCTGATCAGGATAGTGTGATATTGATTAGTGATGTTCCTTCTTATCCCATATGCTTGGACGGCGACACTAGCAATCACGACCTGGGGTGCATAAGCTACATTAACGGAAATCTGATGCCCATTCCCACTCATATTTCAGATCATGAATATGTGCCACTGATGAGTGATGTTCCTTCTTCTCCGGTATTCTTGGGCGGCGAGGAATATCCTTTAGATGGTGAAGCAGTGCGTGGAGACATTAAAGAATGGTTGACAACGCTTGAAGGTAAATTGCCCCAGGAGTGGCCTCAAATTGATGAATTCAGCCAACCGTTAGACGGGTTTAATTACTGGACAGACTGTTTGTGGATGAGCGATTCTGTGAATGATCAATAGAGGGACGTAGAGGTGACAGCAGCTGTCTAATTTCCATGGCGTGCATATAGAAGCACAGTTATGATCAGGATATATTTTATTTCCGTTCTTAGTATATATGCTTTGATTTCTTTTGGTTCATTAGTTAATTAAGAAATTTGGTATAGGTGTTTACCTGGGCCTTCTTCTCTGCCGTACTGATCCATTGCCTGCCTTTCATTTTGCCGCACCTCAGGTCTCTACTGCGTTTCCCCCAGTCATGTCTATGTATGAGCTTCTAGGTTCGTTTCCAATTTTAATGCACTGAATGCTTTATAATACATTCCTTTTCCACCCAAGTTTCTTACTTTTTATTTTTATTGAAAGAAGGTTTCAAGGTTGATGATTTTAATTACTATACTAAATTTTGAAAACCAAATTAATGTTTTTCTTTTCCTTTGAATTACTCCCTCTGCATATGTGGCTTGTGAGCGTGTGCATGTTCTGTGTATTGTGCTTGAATTTTGATGGTAACATGGTGTGTTAACTGTTCTGTGTCAGTTTGTGAACGTGTTGATAGTTTTGTTGACGATAAGGACAATTATCATGTTTCTTGCCACTGTTTTTATGGATTTTTTGTGGAATGTAAGTTTTCTCTCTTTAATTTTTAGTATTCATACCTTAGTCTATATTAGATGTGTTACTTTCTGTTTTGGACCAGCAATGCAAGTTTCTCGCTGTTGTCCTCAGTTGTGTTTTTGGACTGTTTTGCTTTTACAGTTCTATTGGTCTTGACATCTTGTCCATAACTGATTTTCTTTTTACTGTTCTTTGATTTTCTAACTCCGCCTGTGTAAGTTTATCTTACGTTGCCGGTCCCAAGCCCGGATAAAGGAGGAGGGGGAGGGCGTCAGGTAGTCGACAACCGGCACTTTGTTTTCACGTCGATTCCCTATGAGTTCTTTAATTTCTCTGCTCAACAGGATGGTCGTGATTCTAAAAAATTGAAGCACTTTATTCTTTCTTTACAAATTGCATCTCTTTAAGTACGAGGTAGGATGCGGAGCTCACATGCTGTTTCCTGTGTACTTGCAGTTCTTTTGGTGTAGATTTCTTCATCATGTAGGACTAGTTTTTGAAGCTACTGTCTCTTAGGTTTTCAGTTTCAGTAGCTGTCCATGTTTCTGATATTATGTATGTCGCATTTGTGAGAGCATGACAATCCTCACAGCCCATATTTGACTGTCATTTTGATCATTTGAAAGAAATGCCTTCAACTGCATTTCTGAAGTGTCTGCTATTATTTTTATGTTTGTTATCGTTTGGCATGCATAGAGACACAAAGATAAATAAGTAATATAAATTATCTAAATATTCAAAATTTGCAAGGGGTCATCAATTTCCTGTTTTCCACGTCAGGTATTAAGAGAGTACACCATGATGGTGAACATCGCACTCATAGGTTGTGATTTTAGTTTCTTATTCGACATTATTGACCTTCAAATTTATGTACAGTCAAGACGTATATATTGCAAGGAGGGCCAATGCACCTACCTTGTTCTGTTCCGCCCTTCGATAGTATATTATCTGCAGGCAAGGTATGCTTGCATTTTCATGCTTCAAATTGTGGCATATTTGTTGTTTCATGTTGTATATGTATGCGGTTTTCAGTATGAAGTGGGGGAGGGTATTAAAATTACCTCATTTTGAAGAGTTCTTCAAAGTGTTGATTGTGGTTTTGCAGTTTGTTAGGCGTCTGCCCTGCTGCACTGCAGGGTCAGATAGAGAGGCAGTGAGAGAAACGATGATGATGATCTTTGAGATTTGATTTGGAGGCCTTGATTGGAGAGTTTGATCTCCTGCCTGATCCTGCTGCTGCTGCTGCGGCCTCTGTTGCAGATGAGATCGAGACAGTGCTAAGAACAACAGATGAACAAAAAAAGTCAATCTAGCACTCCTCCAGGTGTATTTTTTTATATCAGAAAATTATTTTATTGTTTTACCTCAACATGAACGAAAAAGTCAATCGAGCACTCCTTCAGATGTGTTTTTTTGGACAGTTTCCTATGGTTTGCAGATAAAACAGTCAATTCGATTGTAGCAGAAATAATATATCCAATATATTTTAGTAAACGCACAACATAAATGCAAATGAATCATGACACGATTGTCAAAAGAACATCTAAAAACATAAAATATAAAAACACAAAAACAATTTGCATGGACACCAAGCAAAAGAAAGAGAAATAAGGATAAAAAATAAGAAAAAAAGGATTAAATCAGATACTGAAAACATAATTAAGAGTACAAATCTGTGATAAAATCAACCTAAATATAATTAAAACATTTCCGAATTTCAACTAACATTTCAACTAATTAAAACAATTAGTCTAATGATACTGCTCCTCCCAGTGTTGGAGGAGACCCTAAGTTCGAACCTCCCTCCCCCATTAGTTGGATTTCGATTTCTATTAGTTAACTTGAAAATTTGATCAACTTTTGCCCGGGACTTATTTAGCATACTGGTCTCAATGAGTGTGAGTGTTTTGCTTAAGAGCTGCCTTTTGGTTGAGTTAACTTACATTTCATTCCCCCCAAAGTTGAATGCAAAGGGACTTCTTGTATTTTGTTCCTTCATCGACATCGCGTTGACTTGTTGTACCTGCCGCCTTTGCTGGCTGCTCTTCTGGGTTTGCTCGTCTTTTGTGTTATCTTAATGTGACAGTGATCGTTATCAAGACTTCCATCAAATGAAATTCAATGGAACAGACTGCTGCTGTGATTTTATGAAGAGGGTTTGTTCTTTGTCACCAATGAACAAGTGTAGCATTGACCGTAGATGAGGTGAGTGTTTCAGACCAAGATCAATTAGTGCTCAAAACAAACACGTGAGATTATGTGTGACGAAAACAGGTTCTTTATGCGATAACAACAAGAAGGCTGCGGCTGCTATTTTCGAATCTACAGAAGAAGATGTTGATCTATGTAAATAAGAATTTACACAAATGTTCGGAGGATGAGAATGCAAGAGATATTTTGTATGCTCTTCTGAGGGTTCTGAGTCTTCTTGTGGAAATTCCTCTGAAGGATCCCCAAGTTGTGGTTTCTCTTCAGCTCCTCTAGATTTTGAGAGAATAGGTTGCCGCTTTTCGTTGTTGAATCGTGATGGAGATGATTACAAACTGACACCAGGTACAGATTCAAGGTCGGATTGTTTTCTATCTGATTTTCCCAGCCCATCTTACAAAAGTAGTTGTTGGAGTCATGATTTTCAGTCATCTACTTCTAGTGTTTCTACACCCAGTGAAGAACAAACTGAAATATCATCTGGGTGTGATTTTTCATCAGAACATGCTTCTGAGGCTGAAGTTTTGGAAGATCTAACCACTACTGATGAACCGCTTTTCTGGCCATTTGAGCAGAAAACTGATTGGAATTCAGAAGAGACCTGGAATTACTTTTCCATATATCACCTCGGAAGGGCATAGGTATATAACAGCTTCTGGAACTCCACCAGATTCAATTCCGTCAAAACACCATGATAGGAACATGGATGTCGAAGAAGGGCAGGGGTAAGACTAGTCTTCAGGGTCAGCAGCATCGAAGATTATGAAATTGAAGCAAAAATACAAGGGTGTCTGGCGGACTAATACTTTGCCTTCAAGGTTGAGCAGGGCAACCAAAGGTTGTGAGAAAATTGTACCTTTAGATACCAAATATTATGCTGTAGAACCCAAAAATGGAAAGTTCATGTCAGTGAACCAGTTGGTGTGGTTAATGAATGCATAGAAGTAGATATTGCATCAAAAGAAGTTCCAATTGAGATGTTCATGGGCCTTGCTGAGTTTGATGGACACGAGGGAGTTGATTCAGAATTCAACGAAGATGATTTCTCACTGCATGCATCTCTTTGTTAGTTCGATTGTAGAACGTTTCTCATTGCGTAGTTGAATGAACCACAAAGTGAAAATCTGGACTCTTATAACAGTCTTGGTCAGTCTTTTAACAACGAGTAAGCAGATACCATACTGTCTCCCCATGTCTCCAATCCATATGTGCTTTTGGTTTGATGAATCCGTGTAGGACAACGATTAAACTAAAAGAGTTACAATTATAATTCAAAGACTATGAGAACAACTCCTGATGGGATTTGGTTTAACGCACAGAAGCTATAGATTTTCTGTCCCGGTCAATGTTGGATTGAGGTACAGCAGCCACGCTTGTTTATCATTATGTGGGTGGTTCCAAAGCCACAGGGACCTCTCCCGCGGCCTCAATACCCGAGACTTGCTCACAATACTACGGTGTTATTCCACCACTTCCCCATTTGCTAATTTAACAGATTGTCGTGTCAAAGTGTCTTCTATTGTGCTGTAGTGTGAATGTGAAAGCAGTTCTGGCTGTTGCAGATTTAGAGAGTAAAGGCACAAACCTATATTCGACATAGCGGAAAAGTTAAGAAAGCCTGGAAGATCAGATTGCATCCTGTAGTTCCATGTGTGTTTGCTTTCAAAATTAATCAATGGCGAAAATGATCCATGTAGGTTCAATTTTTTTAGGGTAGCTCTTTGAACGGGAGGAAGGACACAAATCCATAATTCAATTTTTTATTATTAATTGTGGAGTTATTTTGACACATTATGGATTATTAGTATAATGCAATTACGATTAAGAAAATTCATCACACATTAATCCACATTCGACAAATAATACAGATGAGTAATTACGGCAGTGAAGATGTATTACATGAGAAATTAGATGGAACTGCGCATGGCAGGGATACAAAAGGGAAGTTTGAGCTATTCGCCCTTGTCTTCTCTTCTATTTTATTTTGTTTTATTTTTTATAGTGCCATTAGCTTGTTGATTGTCAACATACCAAATGGTTCGGGAAGGCAAGGCAGGGTTTGAGCTGACAGTTTTTGTGCCACAAATAACATCGTGGGTCTGGACGCAGGACGCGCGTTCGTATACAGGCCAAGGCCATTGTCACTACTAGCACCATTGCCTTTGCAGATTCATTGGTTGGCGGCTCTAACCTTTGGTCTAACAAATCTTTCAGCAGCAATTCTACATTGTCCCTCCTTGATTTTGATGATTCTTGTAGCTGGGACTCTAGCATATCCCCTGGGTGCCTTCCCATCATGACTTCGAGCGCCACCACTCCAAAGCTATATACATCACATTTATCCGTGACTCGCATAGTGTATGCAAGCTCTGCACATTGATAAAAACAAAACTGGCTACCTTAAAACATATCCCAATAAGCAAAAAGATGAATCATAAATGTACAAATTAAGTTCACTTCATTACCTGGTGCTATGTAGCCAAATGAACCAGCAATACTTGTCCAGTTGGATGAATCAGTACTCAATAACCTGGCTATTCCGAAATCTGAGAGACGAACCTCGAAATCAGACTCAAGCAATACATTGTTGACGGTTATGTCACGGTGCACAATTGGTGGAGAGCAATCATGGTGCAAGTAAGAAAGTGCATGAGCAAGTCCTTGCACAATTTTGACTCTAGTAGCCCAGACAAGTTCATTAACACCTTCAACTCCATACAAAGCTTTTCCCAGGCTTCCTCTCTCTAAGTATTCATAAAGCAGGAATATGCAACCCCTCCTTGAACAGAAGCCATAGAGCCTTATGATGTTCCGGTGCCGGATGCTTGTCAAAGTTCGGATTTCATTCTGAAAGCTATGGAGATTGATTGCTGGAATATCATTAGAGTCTGACATGTTAAGCCTTTTAACTGCAACTACTTGGCCTGATTGCAGCTCTGCCTTGTAAACCCTTCCAAACCCTCCTGTCCCAATGCAGTACTTCTCATGAAAGTCATCTACAGCCTTCACAACTTCCGCAAACGTAAACTTTACTTCCTCTTGCAATATCATTGACTCCAAACTCTCAAAGTTTTCAGAAGTGTTGACTTTGTTCAAAACGAGACTGGATTTTTTACGGAATATAAGACCAATGACAGTTGTAACCATTAATAAACCACAAACAGGCACAAGGATACCAATTAGAACTCTTTTGTTATTCTTTTTGAAATTTCTGTTGTGCCGAGGGGGTATGTTGTGCCGAGGGGGTACAGTGTCTACACACTCTACATAGCCACACAAGCCAGAGTTTCCAACAAAAGCATTTTCGGGTTCCCATACGAAAACTTCTGGGATTGGGCCAGTCAAGTTGTTATAAGAAAAATTGATGTCACGAAGAAGCAACATGTCGACAAATGATGGGATTTGACCTGAAAGATGGTTGTGTGAGATATTGAGAACCTTTAATCTTAATCCTAGAATCCGTGGGATCACTCCTTTCAAGTTGTTGTACGACAAATCGAGCAGCTCAAGCTGAGATAATTTGCCTAGATTCTGAGGAATCTCCCCACTGAGTTCATTGGACTGAAGTTGCAAAGAGACCATTTTAGTCCAATTGGAGACCAGAGAAGGAAGGATTTGACCAGTAAATAGATTATTATCTAAACCCAATTCGACGAGGTTGTTCAGATTGGACAAGGACAGAGGCAGTTCCCCGTTTAGTTTATTGGAAGCCAGGGACAAGTGGGTGAGGTTTGTACAAAGACCAAGCTCAAAAGGGATAGAAGAGTTTAAGGAGTTGTATGAAAGACCAAGGTACTGGAGCTCCCTGAGTTGGCCTATAGAGAGTGGAATTTCCCCTTCCAGAAGATTTATACTCAGGTCAATATGTTGAAGACCAGAAATCAAACCTATATTGTCCGGAATCGTGCCAGAGAATCGGTTATTAGCTAAACTCAATTCGACGAGGTTGTTCAGATTGGACAAGGAAAGAGGCAGTTCCCCATTGAGTTTATTGGAAGACAAGTACAAGTAGGTGAGGTTTGTACAAAGACCAAGCTCAGAAGGGATGGAAGAGTTTAAGGAGTTGTATGAAAGATTAAGGTACTGGAGATCCCTGAGTTGGCCTATCGAAGGTGGAATCGTGCCATAGAATCGGTTATTATCTACAGCCAATTGGACGAGGTTGTTCAGATTGGACAAGGAAAGAGGC